TTAAATTTTAATACCTGTTTGCTTGATCAACTTGAATAGTTGTCTACCGTTACTTATCGCTGCTATCTTTTCTATCTCCTCTGTTTTCGCAGTTCACCACTGCTCACGATCACTGCATAGACTACTGTCAGTATACATTTAAGATGCTTTTACTTCATACCATTATCTGAACCTGATGGGAAACGTTTCCCGGCAACTATCAATCCAGTGAATGACATCGAAATATACTGATGTTTCTTAATCTTTTGGTTTCAGTCACTAGTAGCTACCACCATTGTCTTCAAAACTATCTGGATATTACGCCAACCTAAGTCGGGGATACACGACTAACAATTTCTCTAGTTGTTCTTGAAATATAGTTTTGACATTTTAGTCATTAAACTGAACTTTAAGGAAATCTCATTGTTGTAGCTCTTCTGCATCCAGTAAGACACATAAAAGCGCTTGCTCATACTACAGAATAATCAGAGTCTAAGCACATGCTTCGGAATGAATGGCAGTCTTCTATCGCGCCTCTCAAACGATGGATGACGGAGATACGATTTATTTGCATTCGTCGTTCAGTTAATTGTAAGGCTCGCCATATGTTTAAAGTTGATGTCTGCTAGAAATAACATTCAGCTAAACCCAGCTGCAATAAAAAGTCACTGATTTCTGTCCGCTAAGCTGGGATTTCGTAAGACTTAAGCAAGTGACTTGCACTCAGATTCATGCTACCCACTTTGGCATCAAGATCGCCTGCTACCACCACTACATCTAAGCATTTAGTCTTTTGAAGGAGGGTGGAAAGCTCGCTAGAATATTTCTCTTTCACTTCGCTCGAGTTGAAGTCAGTTGGAGAGTAGTCAGAGACGACGAAGAGGAGTCGATATTTTTTCCCAGCGTTCTTAGTTATTACTGGCTTCTCTAGTTGGATCGTGGATAGGCGACTATCTACAGAAATCCAGTCTAGGAGAATCTGTCCTGCTTTTCAGCTTGATGAAATAATCACACAAGCGAGGCCATGAGAAGTAGCAGTCAAGCCAACAGACACAATGAGGGTATATTGCGTTGGCTCCCTATACTGGCTAGGTCAGTTTAAGTGGATAACCATACTTGGATCATGTATGCACATTTCAAAAACGCAGCATACATTGATGGTACTAGATCCTTGAGTCATAACTAAGGAAGCCCATTGTCTGATTAGACATAAGGTTCGGACATTGAAAGCACCAGCATGTAATTCAGAGCACTGTTTCAAGACACTGGGAATAACGGTTCGTGAACTTGAGTCGTTAGAGTTGGTAGGGTGTAGTTGTATAATCATAGAAGAAGGGTTGATCGCGGCGACATAGGAAATACTTAAAAGTAAAGGTGAGGTTTGTTCATGAAAAAAGTGACTTTGAATGCTGTTAGAAGTATGCGAATAGTTGTCGCTTCCCGGTTGCTCACATCATGAAGAGATACCTCTTGAGCAACCTGTAAACAGAACTGGATATTTAGTGCTATCGCTTGTCAGGAAGCATAACCTCAAAGCCAACAAGACAACCTCTTGAGCTCTGCCATATGCGGCCTATTCGCATGGATTTTTCTGATGTACTAGCTCCTTTCCTTCAGGGTTTCACAGACATTCACAGAAATGTGTGGTGTAATGCGTTATTTTTGGAGTAAACCTAATTTAACTTTCTCCTTCGATTGTGAGGTGGTGTCTCTGCAGAAACTGGTTGCCCGAGGGAAATACATTTTTACCCTCATACACCACTACAGTCAGCAGTATGACTTCACCCTCGAGCATTAAGTTGCTTCTTTTAGTCTTACCGTCTTACCGATGTTAGGATCTACAGGAATAAGTATTTCAGCTAACATAGGTCGATTGGTTCATCATGATGGGAAAGCCCGACCACCACATCGGGGTGACAGCTACGGTCAGGAGTACTGCTACCACTACTAGTAGTAATAATAATAGGAAGAACGAGAAGAAACTAGAGAGTAAACGACGAAAGAAAGTAAAACTAGAGAAAACCATGCATGGAATAAGATATTTAGCTATCATGATAAGTTATGGAATATATCTACTGGACATTTCTAACTACCGATTTCTCTTATTTTATAGATTTTAAATTACCTTTCTACTCCAGCCAGATCAAGTTAGTTTAATTTTGGTTGAACCAGTCAGTGGTTTTCCCACATCACTTAGTTTTATTGGTGTTGTATTCTTGTCAACTAGATGAAGTTACCTGAAACCCTAGGTTGGATCTCAATAATGCACACTTTAAATTTTAACCCTACATGACTGGATCTTCAAATGCATCGCTCCTTACAAAAATATAGCCTTTTTATTTCACCTGCATTTAGCAAATAAACTTAGTATTTGTATGTTGGAACCGCTCCAACAGAGTATTCCATTATAAGACAAACTATAAGTGAAATAAGTTAGTGGATGGTTATCAAAACTATATTACTCATGACAAGATTTTAATTAATACTAAATTGTCGAGAGCAATGCAAATATATATTTCAGTTAATTAGTTCAATCAACCTAAGTGTGAATGAGGACCATTTCTGAAAAACAATCTTATATTTAAATGAAGACGTATTCAGAATACGAACAGGTATGGCTCACATTGTTTGGTAGATTAAGTTTTGCTAACACCTCAATAGGATAGTGTTGTCTACGTAACTGAATTCAATCGAGATTTTTTCGATGGAAATCAGCCACTGAGTAGTCTATAGCAGTCATCACCAAGACATAGTTAATGATGAGGACGACTATAAAAATTGTAAGAATAAACACCACTGACTAACTAAATTATTGTGACAGATATTGAACATGAAGCTTTAGGGTAAGTGGGTTAAGCTGAACCAGTAAAAAGAATTGATTGAAACCACTTTTAATTAAATTACTATATACATAATTTTTTTCAGTTAAACCGGACTACACTAAGCAAAGGTCAATATTAATATATAACTATCTAAACTGAAGGCACCTAAAGAAAAATGAAATTTGCAATTAAACAAACTCGAATAGTGTTTACAACACTGAACTATAACTCCCCAAACGTAATTACTAAGAACATCAGCTAATAGTCTGTAATAATCCCTTCAATCATTAATCTTATATCTACTATCAGACAGCTAAGAAGTGAAAACGACACCAAAAGACGACTGCCAAAATATGTGTAATAGGAATCTGCAACATTCTGTAACTCGCCCTTACAAAGAAATCTAACATCAAGAACATCAAAAAGTTATAACTCTTTGTCTGACTAATCATAGATGAAAAAGTAGCATATTTTAATGAATAACGTATATATCTTCAGAGTTTGTTGTGCAAGCCAGCATCCTGTTCTTTAGTCATTTACTTTTTCGTATTCATTAGCCTTTAATAAGTTCGGTAGATGGTTTATATTTTAGCCACTGATAGTACATTAGTGTTTATTCCGTTTGGATAGAGTAAGTAGTACAGTAAATGTATTTAGGTGAACGTACTTGTGAGTAACGGTGATTATAATCATCATTTATATACGATATCATATCGACAGGTAAAAAGCATGATCTCAAATTGTAGATGCCAAGTTGCTTAGATAATTTCAAGCGAAACAACAAGCACAATGTCTGGAGAATATAGAAAATTTGTCTTATTTCAATCACAATTAATATTAGGATCAACCAACATAAAATGGCATGTTGTAACAGTTAAAAATAAAAACCAAAAAAATAATAATAACACGTTATGAATGATGAAATCATAAGGTAAGAAGAAATAAGTATCCCCATTGAAGTTTGAAAAACACATGAATATTTGTTTTGGATTGAGTTTCATCTGTTCTTAATATCAAGTTAAAAATACGTTCCTTCTTGCAAGAATTCCAAGCGGACTTCGATATTTACCTAAATGTTAAGTAATCACATTTATAGCATGTTATGGCACTTCATGTTGTTGTTAATCTATGCCATTTTAGATGTAATTCATATTCTGTTAAAAAACTGAAGAACTAGCGATTTTTCAAAGCAACATCCAAAATAGCTTGATTATTCCAGGGATAGAATCGCACTGACTAAACAAACCATTCAATCTAGAACGGTGGTTCAATGGCTAAAACATTCGGTATTTCGCCCCCATATTGCGGGCTCGAATCCACCTTGACCTACTTCTGTTTCGGCAACCTGACGGTATCACTAACCCCCACACTTATAGTGCACGTAGTAGCAAAATAAACTGATCTTTATATTGCGAATGAGATAAATAGAAAATCTGTGTAGATCTTTATATCTAACATTAGAATTTCATATTGGCTGGCCCTCCCAATTTACAGCCTTGGAAATTTTAGCAGTAAAAGTCTGCAGACGAGTTGAGAGATCCCGCTCTCCTTATCGAAATGCTCTTACATGAGCAGGCATGTACAGCCACTGCCAAGTGAAGTTCTAACCATTGAAAGTTTACAGACTTTAGTCACTAAATATCTTGCCAAAGAGAAACATGAAAATATAGGGTTTTATTACGACTTATAGTGAAAAGGAAAATCTCAGAGATCATATTTTGATAGTTTAGACACTATGAGTAGTACGCTATACATGTTGGACCAAAATCGTTTAGGTGGGGTCAGACTGAGATAAAATCACAGGAAACACTAAACTATGATAACCATTTCTTTAGAAATAATGAAGTTAGATATTTGGCAGATAACAGAATGTTATCAAATGACAACAATATAACCAGAAACTACAGGTTTACATGCTAGATTGAGTTGCACATTTACAAAAATATATTCTGTACAGTTGTCATATAGAACCAGAAATCCATAAGCAAAATTTAAATCACTAAGCTAGTGGTCGAAATGTACTCCAGTTCAGATACCTGAACAGTAACCAAACCACGACTGTAGCTAATAGAAACACACATTTCATTACAAAGAACTCCATTTTAACTTGACAAATCGAAGAGAGAAATAACCAAAAATTTGGTGTTTAGTATGGAAAATAGCAAAATAAAACGCGTATAAAAGATCTAGAAAACATACCTACTTAGGATCAGGCCCTTAGCTTATTATATGCACTGGATAACCCCGTCCTTCACATCTAAAAAATTGTAGCGAAATTTTCCAAATAAGTTATGCATTTTCGAAACACAAAGTATGATAATAGTATATAAAATTATGTTAATTTGACATAATCGCCTACGTATCACCCAGAGCTTAAAAAGCCTGTATTTCATTATTGAACTGCACCAAATTAAACCGATCCCAGTGAAAAATTACACCATCCAAACTTATGGTAAAACTGATTTCACCAATAATAAGATTCGTTTAGAAAATAATTAATAAGACTGATATTGTTACATAAATTTCTACTTATTTCCCGTAAAATTCGAAAACTCTTTGAAGTGAGAAAGGTAGATGTATTACTCCGCAGTTGGTGGAGACTTGAACGGTCTTACATCAATTACATCTGACTAATAAATCCTGCTCAAACCGCGATGGTACATCCACGTTCGTTTCAACCCTAATATGAAAAAAGTAGAATGGGTCGTCTACAACTAATTTTTATTAACATAAAAATGGTGTGCAATAGGATGAATCTCAAGAAAATAAGTACAAATCCATAGGCAACTACACATATGAAAAGATTGCAAACTGCCAAAAAATATGACGGATGTATTTTACTATAAGCCATAGACCACCACGTCAAACTACTTATATTTTCATATATTTATCTCTAAAATATCAAAGAACTTACAGTGAAAACATACCAATTCCAGTGATACTTAGGGAGGAAAGGAATTACGTAGAACTTTTAGAATGTTCAGTTTAAGTGAAAATCTTCATGCGCATTAAAAACAAGCATATATAGTCCACTTGACTGTCTTATTTCTACAACCTCGTGAATCCCAAACAAGTTTATAGAGCGACTCAAGCCAACAGAATCTTTTAGTTGGTAATAAACGTTTCTTATTTAAACTAAGGTTTTTGTCATCCTATCTCTACGTTGTCTACGGCCACACATTATACTTAGCAGCTAGCCCTAATTGTACGGAACCACAGTACTAACTGACTTTTATAAAGTCTTTCTGATTGGTCTATTCAATAATAGTGATTTGTGGGTAGAAAAACCGCTCAAATTTGATTGCGATATGGGAGTTCACACACTTGTTGTATTCCTGTTGATCACTGAGCTTATGCCTGTCGAAATTACCCTCACAGTCTTTCTACCGCAACTGATGTTACCATTATATGTACCCATCGGTTTCTCATCATATAAACTTCTCTCATTGATTTGATCAGATCAGATGAACAACACATGGAATTGTAGTAAAATGGATTGACACGTATTTCTTTACAAGTTACATACTGTATGATTGATTATGTCAACAACAAATCTTGGACATCAGTTGTATCAGGAAAATCAAGAAGAGTAACAGTAAGTGACTACTTAGTAACTGGATCGATAATGATTAATACAGATCAACTTGAGATGAATAAAGCTGACAGCTTCATCATTAACCATACATGCAACAAACCAAGTTTGAACCAATCCAACTAATAAATAACACTGAAATTAGCAATTACACGACACTCCTCAAACTTACCGTGATTCGAAACCAATCAGAGATTAAACGACAGATATCTTAATTATGACTAAATAGTGCCATAAAACGAACGTACTCATTTCTAAAATAAACATATTTTAAAATGACTGTAGAGCCCACTATGGATAGTGTGACCGAGTGACTAGACTATCCAAATTGGAGGATAACAGATCTGAAAGTGATTGTTAACACTAAAGAGCAAGTGCAGAGAGATCATCTAGTTTGTACTTCATCAATACAAAAATATAATCCAATTCCGGAACTCCGGGGTTTTTCATGCAAAGAGCGGCTTGAAAAACTGGAGCTCTTTACTCTGTCCTATTGCAGACTAAGGGGAGATCTAATTTTGATGTACAGAATACTGAGAAATGATTTCGGACCTAACTAATTCTCTCTCTTACTTCCCACTAGATCGGGACACCTCAGAGGACATAGCAGGCGAGTAGAGAAGCCAAGAACGAACAAAATACCCGTGGCATACAGGTTTTCACACCGAGTCATCAATACTTGGAACCTGCTGCCTGAAGCAGTGGTGCCCGCACCTTCAATTGACGCTTTCAAGAGAAGACTGGACACTCACAGAAGCATACTAGAAAAGAAATAACATAGGCCGTAGGCCTTCTATCCTTACTACACAAATCTGAAATTTGAATATGATCACCCAATTTTCGGGTTTTCCCTAAAGTCATATGAAAATCCTACGATTACTCACGTTTGATGAAGAACTTACGATATAGATGTTGGGCACTTCACAACATCCCTTACCTAGTTCTCTTTAGTTTACACGACGGTCAGTACTTGTGAAACCACAATTTTACGTCAAAAACAGTAGAAAATGTAGCAGAATATCAATTGACCTTCAGGATATGTACTTAGAAATCCCGAATCCTATTGGTCAGGCTAAATAACCCGCTTTTAACCGTTTGACAGAAAAAATATAAACCAACTTTTGGGAAATGCTTCAACCTTAAAGCTCCGAACAAAAGTATACATATCCTCTGTGCATCTAATAAATAGAATTCACATTTTTGTGTTTGATGCTGTTTCAAATAAAGTCTTCTTTACACATAGTTATTCGGATGTGTGTGACAGTAGCTGACACATTTGACAAATTTTCAAAATTGCTCATAGATGTGAACTGTTCTATTCCACGATCTGAATAAGAACCTACTACAACTACCGATCCATGCTTTCCACATACAAAACTATGTGTAACTACCAGAAATAAAGTCCTATATCGTCAAATCAATATCATTCGGGATCGTTAAGCCACAATATTCATTGATTGCTCCCGCCCTAGACAAGCATAGCCAAGTGCCAAAGTGCCCCTGCAGTAAATAAATCCGTAAAATGAAGGCATTCTTGTCTCAGTACAAACTCGAATCATAGGTTATCAACACTCCTAGATCTTTTTCAACTTCAGATACTCATAGAAAGGAATAACCAAAGCTATATGCATAGTCTACGACATGTCTCAGGTAGACCACTTTACACATTGAAGTGTCAAAGATAGGTTCATTGTCATCTGCCTGACCTGACTTCGAAGTCAAGTCGGAATCTCCGGAAGCGCGAGCGTATCATCTCTCAAAATTCTCTTCAAAGTTTCACGTTGTCAGCAAAAAGTAGTGAATCAGACGACACTTGCTGGTGAAGGTCATGTATAAACTAAGAAAGGAAGAGGTTCTAGTATCGAACCCTGATTGATCTCACCAGGAGAAAAGGTGAAGTTTACCCTGTCCCCAAAAAGTTGATTACTTGATTAAGAAATAAACAAACCAACAAACGGTGGCTGGATACCTGACCGTTTGAGCTTACTGGTGAGACATATATGGTTGAACTAATAGAAAGCTTTTGAAAAGTCAAGGTATATGGCACCAGCCTCCCTCTTGCGATCAAAGATAATTAACTTCTGAGTCCTGTTGAGTTGGGGGTGAAGCTGTTGTCGACGTAGTTTGCATGGAACGGTTAAAATGTCTGAAAGTAATTTTCCTCCAAGAGATCGGTGGCATCACCGTTGTTGTTGGTTGAGCAATTAGTAAGATATCTCAATAATCGTCCATCTCAAGTTGAGGCCGGAATTCCCAGTCTACCTAATGTCGACTGTCCCGTAAAGCTGACACATCAAACCGTTTGAAATTCCAACGTCTGTTGCTGATAAGATGATACCTTTGTACTGGTTGAATGCTCGATTTCGAATTCTAAATACAGTACATTCGTTGTGCCTGTGTCTTCTTAATTCAATTGCGTTAATCCTGGAATTCCTAATTCATACTATAATTAGAATACTATATTGGCGTCGCGATGGAGCCTGCAATGGAAAAGTTAGATATTCATTCAACTTCAGAAGCTTTTGAAGATTACTTTGAAAGGTTCGAAATCTGGGCTATGACCAAGGAAGATGATGAGGATGTCAATATTGTGGCACACTTCCTCACATTCATTGGAAAAGAAGCATACAGCTTATTAAGAACTCTGGCTATGCCGGAAAAACCCATTTCGCTTTCTTATACAGCTCTCAAGGATCTACTGCTAGACTATGCTCAGTATACAAATTTCAAATGTCGTAAAGGAGGAAGATTTCGTAAAATGATTCATGAGGATATAAAAAAGTCCACTACATTACTACGTCATCTCAACCTAGTGCATACTCAAGGTTATGCAGACAATTCATTGAATTTGGATGCAGTTCACGAGGATGGGGACAAGTTTGGTCAGTGTTTGTCCTGTTGCAAGTTCCACTCTTCTAATTCATGTAAATTTCATAATTCTAAATGCTTCAAATGTCGTGATATTGGACAAGTTCAGTCAGTTTGTAATGCTAATGTTCATCTTACTGCAATTAATATTAAGTCTTGTAATTCTGATTCTACTGAGTCGAGTATTCATGATGATCATTTATCTTTATCAACGATTTCAAAAGACAGTGCAGAGTCATATGGCAGTTCAGAGTTAAATGAAATCCAGAATTCTTGTGAGACAACATTTCCTAATCAACCGATTTATCAGAATTCTCATGCTATTGTACCAAGTATGACTTTTCCTAATGATTCACATATTTCTAATGAAATTACTTGCAATTCTGAGGAAAATATGTTAAATGAACCTAATCATGATCGAAAACCTGATGTGGTTTGGATAGATGCTGATTTTTCTAACGATCCTACGCTCTGCAATGACAGTCCTGATGAATTTCATGAGAATATTTCAGAAGAATCAAATCCTGATGTCATATCATATATTACCTATCCTCATAATGTATTTGATCTTCGTGAAAAACCTGCCCAATGCGAAGCACGAGTACTAAGTGACCTCGAGTTTTATTATATTTCGGATGATTTCATATCAACTGCTGTTTACTCTTATCACAAAAACAGTTCTAATGTTTACTCTAAACAATGTGAGATATATGTTTTAAATGAAGCCACATTATTCATAACTTGGGAGTATAAAGATCCAACATTATTTCGTGGGGGGGGATAGTGTTGAAAAATCTATGGTTCGAATTCTAGATATTAATGATTTCATTACAAAACCGACATGCTGGTTGTATACAATTCCAGGTGAGTCTGTTCCGATTTCGTTTGTTAATT